ATTTTCCAATTATTAATCTTTTCACCTGGTGTGGTCACCATTGGTATGAATATTTCAATGACATAATATAAAAAATATTTAAAAGGCCTGGGATTTTAAACCAATCTTTTGACTCTGAACAGTATTAATCCTGAACCCAGCCTAATTCCAGTGTAAGAATGGGAGCCATCTTGTCAAAAAGCTATAAAAAGTTTATTTTTGTTTTCTGTAAAAAAACTAAAATTTCTCTTTGGCCTGACAATATTTTGATATTTTAAACTTGTTTGGAATTTCTACCTGTGCTTTGAATTCACCTATGCCTGGCTATCCCTGACCAGATAACAACTCTCTCTAAAACCTTACTGGTGCCTCATAAATCCTGGCTCCCACTGACTAAATAACAACTCTCTCTAAATCTCAGTGGCAGCTCATAAATTCTAATGTCTGGAGTTGAATTTATTCCCTACCTTGAAATGTTCAGACATGTAGATCCTTAACCTGCTATCTGCCTTTGTTTTATGCTTGTCAAAATCGTGTTAGCTATATAGTACCCGAGATACCCACCTTCTTTGTAACATTTTGTGCTGTAAAAACTTTTTCTTGAAGATCAGGGGGTGATCTCTAGCATGGAGTTTTGTAAGAGACAGTTCTGGCCGGCTTTTGTGTACACAATATAATCTTGATTTAATTTGATTTCAAATTGGAGTTGGTTGTCTTTTCTTTGTGTTCTTTTTCAACATTAACCTTTTTTTTTTAACTTCACTGTAAATAAAACCAAAGAACAAAACAAAACTCCTGTAAATAAGCCAGGTGCATAATAATAGCCATTCTTTACTGAAAGCACTGTATTCATTATAGAAATGATATAAGCTTAAAAATTAAAAGATAGCTCAAATATCAAGGGAGTTTAGAAATTAGAAATTTTTTTCTTTCAGAATATAGGTGGTAAAATAGGTAGATGGAACGTGCTGGGAGAAATCAAAAGTCTTTGCAGAGTAGGCAGCAGAGATTTGAGTCTTTCTCAGGTCTATATTTTGCACAGAAGAGAAAATGTGAAGCATAAATATATCAAGTAATGTGCAAAAAAATCACAAAAATATTTATTATAAAAAATCATATCTACAGAAATGGTTCAAAAGAAGCAGGGTTTTTTTTTTTTTTTTTTTTGGTCAGGAATAAACATTTGGACAGGAATGGAAGTTTTGGTACTATTTTTAAGTAGTTTTACTCATAGTGAATAATCTTTATATGATTTCTCCATTTTACTGGTTGGAATTAATTACAATTTATATATCTGCTAAAAAAGGTACTGAACACAGAAAAATATTAATTGCTCATGTTTAAATCAACTACATTATTTGATCTTTCCCTTTTTAAACCAAAAATATGCATAAAACCATCTCTTAATAAATATCTATCTCTGTATATTAGCAGCAACTCAGTCATAAAATATGCTATGATAACTTGTCTCTTCATGTACTTATAGACTATGAATTTGCTGCTTAGCATTTAGATATAATTTTCTATGTCGTTCTCTACTTATTTATGTCTCTCTGCCAAGTTTTATACCAAGCTCTTAGTATGTGCCTTAATTACTCTGTGTAGCAATGTAGGATCCATGTCTTATTTGTGACACTTTGTTCCCAGAACTGTGTCTAAAGGAAAATATGTACAAGATGATTATCCAGGCAAAAATATCTATCTAACATTATATTTATTTTATACTTATTTATATATTTACGTATACATATTACTTTTATTATTTAAAAACACACTTTGGTCTGAAACCACAGTGATACTAGTGTATTTTAGCTTGAATTATTTGTGAGAAACAAACAAACTAAAAAGACATTTCTCTTTGTTGGCTGGTGATTTTTGCAACGTCAGGAGCCTAGTGAAGAATGGCAGAAATAGATATGTAACTCTCTAGTTTAAGGCAGACCCATCAAACTAGATGATRTTTTGCTTCTGCTTTCTATCTTGATCATTATAAACATACTTTTATATTCACATGGAACATTTTTGTAATTCTGTTCTGTTAGTTCTTCTAAAAAATTAAATGAAAGTGAAAAAGAATGCAGGAAAGATAAATAATTAATTTCAAACAATCCATTTTGAAAATATTTTTTTTCAAATTACCAAAAATTTTGAAAAGTTAGAAAAGTTAAAAGCTTTAGAAATAGCCTAAGGCAATTTTGTCTTTTGCTCAGGACACTAGACTACACCTCCAACTCATTTCTCTCTAGAATTGTACTGTGTGCAAATATGAAAAAGAAATGTGCTAAGATGCCCCACATGGCTTATAATTTTAAAAATACTGACAGGGGTTCAAATGTACCATTTTTCTACTTTACAAATTACAAAATCTGAAATTCATATACTTAACAAATATTTACAAAACTGTAATTCAAAATGACCTAAAAAATTTAAAAAAATTGAAGAACTGGCCTACTGAACATTAATCATAGGGACTTATAATATTGAAGCCATTATATTAAATGTCTTTTTATCATTGTCACAATTTTCCATGTTTATATCATCAATATATTAATCAAAATTTTTACCCACTTAATAACAAATATCTTAGCTTCTATTTTAATTGTTTTTTAAGAAAAAATTAGTAGCAATTTATATTAATAAGTTAATGCTCATATTTGTTAAAGTATGAAATATATACTTTAAAAGCTATGGCTATAGCAAGTAAAAAATCCAGCCTAAATTCTTCTTAAGATTGGGAGCCATCTCATCACACAGGCATGAAAAGTTAATTTCTGCTTCATTATAAATTACTGTGATTTTTAAACTTGCTTGAAATGTCTGCCAGTGCCTTGAATTCACCCATCTCTGGTTTTCCCTGATGAGATAACAACCCTCCCTGAAACTTTAGTGATGACTCATAAATTCTGGCTTTCCCTGACCAAATGACAACCCTCTCTGAAACCTTAGTGGTGCCTCATAAATTCTGATGTTGTGATCTAAACTTATTCCCTAAGTGATGAACAATTTTAAACCATTAACCTTGTACCTGCCTTTGTATTATGCTTGTCAAAATCAGGGTTGTTTTACCTGATTACAACCCTCCCTGAAACTTTAGTGATGACTCATAAAGGGCTCTCTGGTCTCAGATTCAATATACGTGATCTGAAGCCCCTTCCACTGAAGAGCATTTTGTGTGAACTGTGCAATCCTATGTGTCCTCAGGGAGGAGGAAGGTAGGATTTCACTGTTATTTCTTATCTCCTAAGTCCTCCATTTTTGCCATTTGGCTGGCTTTCCCTGACTAATAACAACCCTCTATGAAACCTTAGTGGTGTCTCATAAATTTTGATGTTGTGATCTAAACTTACTCCCTAAGTGCTGAACCATTTAGAACACTAACCTACTCTTTGCCTTTGTATTGTTTGTCAAAATCCTGTAATCCATTTAAGTTCTCAAGACACCCCCCTTTTGCAACTTTTTGTGCTATAAAACTGCAGTCTGAAAGAGCTGGATTGCTGTCTTCTATTCCCATGGGTTTAAGGAGAGACTGTTATCCTCAAATTTGGGACCCCCAAAAGACCAGCAGAGACCAAGATTGATGTAAGCAGCAAAGATGCATTTATTGTGAGCTAGCTCAGTCCTCCACACCCACATCAACTGGTGACGCTGAGAGGCCCTGAGCACAGGGTTTGCAGTAGTTTTATACACTCTCTGGGGAAGCCAGCTACTCCACATACATCTTAGCATCTCTTAGCAAATCATCACACACCTCGGGAAAAATCATAAAATGAGTCAAAACATGATTAGCACATTCACTGGCAGGAACAAGTTGGGTAGGGGTGATTGGTTAGTAAAAGAGGGGGATTCATTTGAACTGATTATTTAGGCCATGAGGKATGTACCTGCTGAACTATGTGGTCTTCTAACATGTTTTCAACCACCTTAAACTACTGGGAGGGTCATCTGGCATCCCAGGTATTTTCCCTATCTAATGCTGATTGGTGGTTGCTAGGGGATTGCTATGGATCTCCACCTAGCCTGACTGAGTCAGGGAAACCTGGCTCAGCAGATCTCTCCTGTTATTTGTAGATAAACAACTCAGCAGGGTGGGTATATGCCTAGGAGTGCTCTGTGGGTCTTTCCAAGGACAAGGGTCATGCCCCCTTCCTTGGACAGGCTTTGCTCTGAGATAGAGGCTGGTTTCTCACCTTGTATCTTATGTTTTTTATGTATTTTTTAGCTATAGCTGGAAACAATACTTTTATTTCACTTATTTATTTTTATGTGGTGCTGAGGATCGAACCCCTGGTCTTGCACATGTGAGGTGAGTGCTCTACCCCTGAGCCAAAACCCCAGCATCTTATGTGTTGTTTTTATTGGGCATTTTTACTTTAGGGGGTTTCTTTCCAGTTCAAAGTTCAATCTGTTACCTAAAAAGAACAGAGCAGAATACAATAGACAATAGGATGTACATTCCATGTATGTATTATATGTCAAAATGCATTCTACTGATATGTATGACTAAAAACAATGATAGTGATTGTCATTATTTTATATTAATTCCTGAATAATATACAAGCATATATAATCCATAAACTGAAATAACTTTATATAAAAGTTTAAATTAAAATGATCTGTTGGTTGAGCTAGGATCTCACTTCTGGGAAAAAAAAAAAACTACAAAAAAAAACTTGCCTTAAAATAACAGCAGCCTGAGGCTCTGGGATATATTTCCCAGATTAAAACAACCTGAGATTCTAACCCTTATTCATACCTAGATTGGATAATATTCCCTGTCACTCAAAAAAAGGGTCACTGGTCTCAGATTCAATGTGCATGATCTGAAGCCCCTTCCAATCAAGAGCATTTTGTGGGAACTGTCCAATCCTGTGTGTTATCAGGGAGGAAAAGAGTGGGCTTTCACTGTTACTTCTTATCTCCTAAATCCTTTTTTTTTTTTTTTTTTGCCATTTGGCTGGACTTTAATCTCATACTTTAGAGTCACAGGTTGCTCTGCTGTGCAGAAACTGAGGATTCCAAGCAGGCCCAACTCTGGAGAACCAGGAAATGGTGAGTGTGCATTGGCCTACTGAGGGAGGCTGGGGGAGAAAGACTATTTATTGGAACCACAAGACTGTGGTGAAAACAGGAGCTAGCAGATTGGGACTCTGGACAGTCTCTGCAGGCTTAAGTCCTCCACTGGGCCACTATGTTCTCAGTCCTACTGGCCAAGCAGGTGGTGAACATGTCAGTGGAAGAGACTCTTTGTTGCTTTCCTTATGCTTAAAGGGCATCCTCAGTGTCTGCCTAAAATATTATGTGGCTGGTGTGTTCCTGCAGCCCAGTGTCTTACCAGATGCTGGAGATTGACAGGTGGAATAATGATCAAAATCAAATCTACACAGGCCATTTTCTTTTTTTTTTTTTTTTTAGGCCATTTTCTTGAAGAAAAGGAGCTGTTGTTTTGGGGCACCTAATTTCCTCTTGAGCCAGCTAATTTTTATTTTGACTTTCTTTTATTTTTACTTTTATTATTGTTATTATTATTATTTAGGTAGTTAGTGTCATTAGGTAAATCAGGTCTAATATTTAGTAAAATTAAGAATGAACATTATATTGAGAATGAAGTCCAGGAAAATGGGGATTCCAAGGCCCAGAGCCCATCCCAAGGAAATGTTAATGAAGCAGCTCCCAGCAAATAGGGAGATACTAATCCAAAAGCCTTCGTGCCCAGATTACTGCCTCAGCCTACCTGTCCCCCAGCCTTTGGGCCTTCCTTCCTACATTCCATCACTGCAAGATAAGATGTTATGTAAAGGAAATTGGGGTGTAATCCTACATGATGAAGATTAGAGCCTGCATTTTATTCTATTAGATGCAGAGTCTCTGGTTTAAGTCCTAGGTTCTTGTTACACTTTGAGTTGAGTTTTGTGCATGGTGAGAGATAGGGTTTGTTGAAGAGGCTATATTTTCTCCAGTGCATGTTTTTGGCACCTTTGTCTAATATATGATAATTATAATTTTGTGGGTTAGTTTCTGTGTCCTCTATTCTGTACAATTTGTCTATCAGTCTGTTTTGTTGCCAATGCCATGCTGTTTTTGTTACCATTGCTCTGTAGTATAGTTTAAGGYCTGGTATAGTGATGCCACCTGCTTCACTCTTCCTGCTAAGGATTGCTTTAGCTATTCATGGTCTCTTATTTTTCCAGATAAATTTCATGGTTGCTTTTCTATTTATATGGGGAATGCTATTGGGATTTTGATCAGAATTGCAGTGAATCTGTATAGTGTTTTTAATAGCATGGTCATTTTGATAATATTCTGCCTATTCATGAGCAAGGTAGATCTTTCCATCTTCTAAGGTCTTTTCTGACTTTTTTCTTTAGGGTTCTGTAGTTTTTCTTGTATAGATCTTTCACCTCTTTCATTAAGTTGATTCCCAAGTATCTTATTTTTTTTTGAAGTTATTGTAAATGGAGTAGTTTTCTTCACCACCATATGTACCCTATCTTTTGTGTGTAAATTTTTAAGCTTTGTATTTTTATATATTTCACTATTATTTATTAATAACTTATATTCAGCATTTAATGTGTCAAAATATGTTGTTATGTTTTATGAGTAAAGGGACAAAATAGCATTTTATTATCACACTGTTTTCCCAATATCCTAGCATCTTTCTTTGGAATGAATGCCATTTTTCCTCTTTTCTGCACTGTAATCTTCATTATGTATCACTGCCTAAATAACAAGAGGCTTATTAAGAGTTTTGTTTTTGTTGTTGTTTTCTGTAGTTCCACCATTTATTTTATTATGAGGCTTACCCTGATTGATTTAACGTCATAGCATCAATCATGTGGCATCATGATATTTTCATCAGCAGTAGACTTTATGTACAACAGTGGATATAGCAAATATCTTAGCCATGAACTAGTCTATACCATCTAGATTCTTGTCATTATACTCAGAGAAATGAAAAATTGCAGAATATTCTTAGGATAGTGTATTTCCATCAAGTGAGAAATCATTATATATGCATATATTTGCAATTATATACTATATAATTGAAATAATTATTATTTGTTGAATTTACAAATTTGCTAGTGCTTTTTTAATTGTATCTGCTTTTTTTAAATTTGTACTGTAAATTGAACCCAAGTGTGCTTAACCATGAAGCCACATCCTCAGTCCTTTTTATATTTTATTTTATCAGTCTTGCTGAGTTGCTAAGTGCCTCACTAAGTTGCTCAATACAATATATATAAGACAATATTATATATAATATTGTCTTCGAATTTATGATCCTTTTTCCTCATCCTCCTCAGTCACTGGAACTACAGTTGTCCATCACTAGACCTTGCTCATTTGCTTTTTAAAAGCACCAACATTGATATTGGTAACTCTCTCTGTGTTATGTTCATCTTTAATAGCTTCTAATTTTGCTCTTTTGCTTAAGATTTTCTTTACTTTTAGTTTATAAAATTTACTTTTCATTGGGATGGAGGATTTGATAATAAATTCTTAGTCATTTTATGGCTTACTAATTATTTTCTGTATGTTTTATTTTCAACCTCAGGTTTAGTTGAATTTTAATTTTTGCAGCTGTATAAAGGTCTAAGTGAAACATAATAACCTGTATGGATATTGTTAAAATAAATGGAAAAACAATTTAACCCAGGTTTTTT